GGGAAGGGGCTGGCGGTGCCGCTCGGCGCCTCCGCCGGGCTCTCGGCGCCGCTCTGTGCGGGGACACGGGAAGGGCGCTCGGCTCCGTCCCGGTGCCCGCCGCGTCCTGGGCCCGGCCCGACGCGGCACCCGGCGCCTCCCCGTACCCGCGTGGAGGAGACGCGGCTGCGGAAGGCGGCGTCGGCGCCGAAGAAGCCCTGCTGCGGCACCAGGTAGGCCTCGGCGTCCACCAGCTCCTCCATGTCCTCCTCGTCCAGCAGCGCCCGGTAGAAGGTGCTGTCCATGGAGCCGGGCAGCCCCGTCACGTCGTTCTGGGGGGGACGAGCGGCACCGTGGGCGCCCGGGACGCCCTGAGGCATCACCGAGGGGCGGCAGCTCCTGGGGCCCCTCGGGGACCCCTGGATATTTGGGGGTACCTGGATGACCACGAAGCGCTGGGGGTCCCGGGCCATGCGGGAGAACTCGGTGACCAGCTCCCGGAATTTGGGCCGGCACTCGGAGTCGATCATCCAGCCTGGGGGGAAGCGGGTGCCGTGAGGTCCGGGGGCTCCGTGTCCCCGCCGTGGCGGGACGAGCGTGTCCCCTCCCCGCCGTACATTTCACCATGATCATGTAGACGTCGATGGTGCAGATGGGCGGCTGGGGCAGCCGCTCGCCCTTCTCCAGCAGGTCGGGGATCTCGCGCGCGGGGATCCCGTCGTACGGCTTCGCCCCGAACGTCATCAGCTCCCACACGGTGACGCCTGGCGGGGTGGCCGTGCGTGAGCGATGCCCCCGGCGCCACCCCCATCCCTGGGGCGCCCGGGGCCGCCCCCACGCACCGTAGCTCCACACGTCGCTCTGGTGCGTGAAGCGCCGGCGCAGGATGGACTCCAGTGCCATCCACTTGATGGGGACCTGCGGGCACACGGAGCGCTCAGCCGGACACGGGGCAGGCGGGATGGAGACCGAGGTCCCCAGGGACACGTGGGCGGGGAGGCTGCGTGAAAACCTGGAGGGACCTGGAGCCACGTGCGCACGGAGGCCCGGGGAGGCCACACGAATGCACGGAGCAACTCCAGGGCCACGTGTGCATGGAGGCCCGGGGAGGCTGCACAAATGCACGGAGCGACTCCAGGGCCATGTGCACATGGAGGCCAGGGGAGGCCGCACAAATGCACGGAGCAAGTCCAGGGCCACGTGCGCATGGAGGCCAGGGGAGGCCACACGAATGCACGGAGCGACTCCAGGGCCACGTGTGCACGGAGGCCTGGGGAGGGTGCACGAATGCATGGAGCGACTCCAGGGCCATGTGTGCATGGAGGCCAGCGGAGGCCGCACAAATGCACGGAGCGACTCCAGGGCCATGTGCACACGGAGGCCAGGGGAGGCCGCACAAATGCACGGAGCGACTCCAGCGCCACGTGCGCATGGAGGCCCAGCGAGGCCACACAGATGCATGGGGCGACCCGGGGCCACGTGCACAGGGAGCCCCGTGCTCCCCCCTTGCCCGGCTGCGTCCCCCCGCGCACGCCTGCGCGCCCACCTTGCCGCCGTCGGCGTGGTACTCGGTCTCGTCGATGTCGAGCAGGCGGGCCAGCCCGAAGTCGGTGATCTTGACGTGGTGCGGGCTCTTGACGAGCACGTTGCGGGCGGCCAGGTCGCGGTGCACCAGCCGCACCTCCTCCAGGTAGCTCATGCCCTGCGGGCGCCGGGCGTCACGGCGGGCCCGGCGCCCCCCGCGCCGCCGCCCGCCGCCTCCCCGTCTTACCTTGGCGATCTGCACACACCAGTTGAGCAGGTCCTGGGAGCACAGGTGGTCCTTGTTCTCGCGCACGTAGTCCAGCAGGCAGCCGTAGGGCATCAGCTGCGTCACGAGCTGCACCGTGGACGTGAGGCAGATGCCCAGCAGCCGGGACACGTAGGGGCTGCCCACGCCGGCCATCACGTAGGCCTCCTGCGGGGCAGGGAGGAGGATGGCGCCGGCCTCCTTTCAGTGGGGCCAGCAACAGGAGGAGAGGCAACAGCCACAAACTGAAGCACCAAAAGTTTCGCAGGAACTTAAGGAAAAAATTCTTAACAGGGATGGTGCCCGAGCCCTGGCACAGGCTGCCCAGAGAGGCTGTGGAGTCTCCTTCTCTGGAGATCTTCCCAACCCGCTTGGATGCAGCCTGTTCCCCGTGCTCTAGGTGCCCTGCGTGTGCAGGGGGTTGGACTAGATGATCCCTAAAGGTCTTTTCCAACCTTAAGTATTCCATGATTCTATGACAAGGACACGGCTGGTGCCGGGGACACCGGGACGGCACCGGGAGGGCCCCGCGCCGGGTGCGCACTCACGTCCAGGATCTCCTTGTTGGCCTTGGGCGACGTGTTCTCCCGCAGCACCTTGATGGCCACGGGAATCTTCACACTCTCGCCGTCGGGGATCCAGATGCCCTGGGGCGGGAGGCAGTGTTGGATGCGGAGCAGGGAGAAAGATGGGGACGGTGCCAGCGGTGCCGCCCGCCCCTCACCTTGTAGACGGTGCCGAAGGCGCCGGAGCCCAAGACCTTCACTTTCTTGAGCTCCGTCTCCTTGAGGATCCGCATCTGGGCCTGGTTGGGCAGGGCCCCGCTGGGCGTCAGCGGCTCCACGAGCTGCGGGCACAGGCGGGTGAGCGGGGCTGCCGCGGGCGCCCCCGAGCCCGGCACCACGCGCACGGGCAGCCCGGCCCCACAGCGTCCTGGCCCCATGGCCAGCCCGGCCCCGCGGACATCCATCCCAGTCCCATGCACCCTATTCGCAGCTCCGCACGCCCCATTCCCAGCCCTGTGCATCCCATTCCTGCACCATTCCTAGCCCCGCGCACTCCATTCCCACAGCCCCGTGTGCCCCATTCCCAGCCCCGTGTACCCCATTCCGTGTGCCCCATTCCCAGGGGCAAGCGCCCCATTCCCAGCCCCATGTGCCCCATTCCATGTCCCATTCCCAGGGGCGCACACCCGATTCCCGCCCCATTCCCAGCCACGCGTGCCTCATTCCGTGCCCCATTCCCAGGGGCACATGCCCCATTCCCAGCCCC